AGCGAGTCTCCTGCCTCCGCCTCCCAAGTAGCTGGGACCACAGGTGCCCGCCACAACACCCGGCTATTTTTTGGTTGCAGCCGTGATTGTTGTTTGGCAGGTCCGGGCTGGGGATTCGAACCCACCACCTTAGATGTACGTGGCTGGCGCCTTAGCCAGTTGAGCTATAGGCGCCGAGCCTCAAACTGAAAATTGAGTATATGGAAGATATATTTGTTTTCTTTTTACCTGTTCTGAAATAGCCCGAAAGAGGCAAGAAGCATCCTTGGCAGTCAGCTTTCGAAACAGCCCTAAGCTGCCTAAATATTCATCCATTGATGCCTCATTCTGAGACTTCTGGCCGCAGTGCTTTTTCCATCCTTTATGCATTGTGCACAGAGTGGGGGAGGGAGGGAGGAAGGAGCAGAAGTGTGGTAAGAAGGAAAAAGCAGGGTGCAGGCAGGAATGGGTAGCAGTGACAAGGGCTTGCTTATGCAGGTATCCGGAAAGCAGACCAAAGTCTAGGCATGAGAAGGCAGCTGGAGTCAGCACAGCAGTATCTTGGCACTTCCCAGGAGCAGAAGCAATGAGTTGGCTTTCCCTGGACAAGTCGAGATCCTGTGAAAAGAAGAGGAAGAGCAATGCTCCTAGGAATAGGGAACTTGACATGAGACAAGGGAGGGAAAAGGTGCTTACAGAGCTACCTGGCTAGTGAAGAGTGGGATTAACCCAATCAGCCCAAGGTTGAGAAAAGTATGCATAAGCAGCGGAGCTTTGGGACCAGAAGGAAACAGAGCTTGCAGCTTAACTCAGGGCAATTGCTACAGGAGGCTGCAAAAGGATTAGAATAAGGCTCAGGTGTGTTAGATGCAGGCTGGTCCACATTACATTGCTTTAAAACCTCTGCTTTCATTTTCAACTAGTCTGTGCTGAAATTCTCTGTTCCTTTCATAGCTCCAGGGAACTAAAGGCAGGAGGAAATCTAAACGTAATTAACTAATAAGCTTTTACATTAAGAATATCTTTTTAGGCTGGGCGCCTGTGGCACAAGCAGCTAAGACGCCAGCCACATACACAAGAGCTGGCGGGTTCAAATCCAGCCCAAGCCTGCCAAACAACAACAACTACATCCAAAATATAGCCAGGCGTTGTGGCGGGCGCCTGTGATCCCAGCTACTTGGGAGGCTAAGGCAAGAGAACTGCTTAAACCAGCGGTTCTCAACCTTCCAATTGCCGCAACCTTTTAATACAGTTCCTGTGGGTCGCTACCCACAAGTTGAGAACCACTGGCTTAACCCCAAGAGTTTGAGGCTGCTGTGAGCTGTGATGCCATAGCACTCTGCCCAGGGTGACAGCTTGACAATAAAAAAAAAAAAGTATCTTTAAGAAAAAGAAATGGAGGCTCGGCACCTATAGCTCAACCGACTAAGGCGCCAGCCACGTACACCTAAGGTGGTGGGTTCGAATCCCCAGCCCAGACCCGCCAAACAACAATGATGGCTGCAACCAAAAAATAGCCGGGCGTTGTGGCGGGCGCCTGTGGTCCCAGCTACTTGGGAGGTGAAGGCAGGAGACTCGCTTGAGCCCAGGAGTTGGAGGTTGCTGTGAGCTGTAATGCCACGGCACTCTACCCAGGGGGACAGCTTGAGGCACTGTCTCAAAAAAAATAAAATAAAATAAAATAAAATAAAAAAGAAAAAGAAATGGAGAGGAACCTCCCTTTAAAAGGGCAGAGGTCACAGTTCAACCAAAGTGTCAAAGCAATTACCTGCTTATTTCAGATATAGGGTTGAAGTAATCACTCGTTTAATCCTACATAAATAACTCTCTGCTAGGACCACAGAAACTAAATCCATTAGCTATACTAGGAAACCCCAATACAATTCCCAACTATTGTCTCCAAAGTATCATATGGCACTAATAAAAAGGAAAAATGCAGAAAACATGTTTCTTAAAAAATGAAAATAAAAATTCAAATGGAAGCAGCATGAAAAGAATATCTGATCCATAAACTTGCTAATAGGCTAAATTTAAAATGCTATAGCCCATTATGAGAGGAATTGGACATAAGAGATATGTTTTAGGGTTGGCCCCTGTATCTCAGTGGTTAGCGCACAGGCCATATATACCAGAACTGGCAGGTTCGAACCTGGTCCAGGCCTGCAAAACAATGACAACAACAAAAAGTAGCCAGACATTGTGGTAGGCGCCTGTAGTCGCAGCTACTTGGGAGGCTGAGGCAAGAGAATCACTTGAGCCCAAGAGTTGGAGGTTGTTGTGAGCTGTGACACCATAGCACTCTACCAAGGGCAACATAGTGAGATTCTGTCTCAAAAAAAAAAAAAAAAAAAAGGCATGTTTCAATTATTATTAGGTACTTTTCCAGAAAAACTGCTCTGGATTCTAAGAAAAACTAAGTAAAATATTAAGGGTCAAAGACAGGAAGAGACAGTATTAGTTGATTGCACTATCAAGGGTCATTTTTATTTAAGTATGAAAATCCAATTATTTTCTTACTTTTAAGTGTTAAAAAAGTAAATAGGTTAAAAGCTGTCTTTTAGGGAGGCGCCTGTGGCTCAGTGAGGAGGGCGCCGGCCCCATATACCAAGGTTGGCGGGTTCAAACCCAGCCCCGGCCAAACTGCAACAAAAAATAGCCAGGCTTTGTGGTGGGCGCCTGTAGTCCCAGCTACTTGGGAGGCTGAGGCAGAAGAATCGCCTAAGCCCAGGAGTTGGAGGTTGCTGGAGTGACTCCACTGCA